AGAAAGGTATCGTTGTTATATATTATCCTTTGAATTTGCATGAATTTGAGATTAATCTGAAGGTGTTGTATTGACAAAACATAAGACTATAAAGATATCTGATGTTGATTTTATCTACTGTGACAAACACCTTCAGTGGAATTTAACAACACAGACATCAATCATAATTGTAAGGCAAAGGTCATCTGCTATATTTCAGAGGTTGACAAATGTTTTTAAGGAGGCACAGTTCAGCTACTCTCCATCTGATGAACTGATGTATTTACAAAAGCAAAGTTTTGTTGAATCAGAAGATGTTGTTGTTGTTGTTGTTGTTGAGCTTCAGAAAAATAAAAAATATCTATGTTTCTTGTTTCTATCGCAGGCTGGTCTCAAGACAAGAATGGACAAAATCAATACAACAGATTTATATGATGGAAATGACTGCTTTTATGACATCAACTATGACGACATGTACAATGACTATTCTGCTAAGTTGAGAAAGTCTCTCAACATCATGTCTGTCGTTGTTTACTGCCTGGCCTTCGTTCTTGGTGTGCTCGGGAATGGAGTGGTTATCTGGGTGACCGGGTTCAAGATGAAGAAAACAGTTAACACAGTTTGGTTCCTCAACCTTGCTGTGGCCGACTTCCTCTTCACAGCATTCCTCCCCCTGACAGTGACATACACAGCCATGGATTTCCACTGGCCTTTCGGCAACTTCATGTGCAGAGTTAATTCCACCTTAACCTTTCTGAACATGTTTGCCAGTGTCTACATCCTGATGGTGATCAGTGTGGACAGATGTGTGTCTGTGGTGTGGCCTGTCTTGGTCCAGAACCACAGAAATATACGCAAGGCATCTTATGTGAGTCTAGGTGTTTGGTTACTGGCTCTGATTCTCAGTGCTCCATACTTTGTCTTCAGGGATACTTTTACGTATAGTGATAACACCACCCTCTGCTTCAACAACTTTGTTCTTTCTGATGATTCTGAAACAGGAAAGTTTCGACATCAGGCCATGGCCATCACCAACTTCCTCCTGGGATTTGTTGTCCCCTTCACTGTCATTGTCTCCTGTTACACTGTGATAATCCATCATCTCAGGAGGAACTGCACCCTGGCCAGCAAGTCGAATCGCCCCTTTAAGATCATCGCTGCTGTTATCACCACTTTTTTCCTGTGCTGGGCTCCTTTTCACATCATGCGTCTATTAGAGTTGGATCATCACACGCGTTCTAAAACATTTGGCTATGTCCTCTCTATTGGTCTGCCTATAACCACCAGCTNGGACCATTAAAATGTGTAGCCTACATGTTCAAATGTCGATTCATACAGTCAACGCAGAGCAATTACACTTAACCTCAAGCAAACATCAGTTCACTCTACATTATGCAGCAGGATCGTTGGTTAACTTGTGGTACCAAAAAGACATGTCAGTTTCTGATGCTCAGGTATAAGGTTGTTCACGACATGAATAAACAAATACTGTAACTGTATACAGGAAATAATTTTCATACAAACTAAGTCTGAGGCATGTTTAAAAAGTGTATGCCTCTCTAGGCCGTTGTTGTTGGTTTTTAAGGTTTTTTTGGACAGTTTTTTTGCCTCTATTTCGATAGGGACAGTGAGAGAGTGACAGGAAGGTTGGGGAAAGAGAGAGGGGATGACACTGCAGTAAGGACTGAACCTAAGTGTGTCTGTGTGTGTGTGTGTGTGTGTGTGTGTGTGTGTGTGTGTGTGTGTGTGTGTGAGTGTCACCATTTATTAAAATAGTTACTATAAGGCTTCTTTTCTTTCTTTCTTCATTAGTAAGATTAATGAGTAGTAAGCATTAACATGATCTTGCCAAATAGTGGCCTTGTATCAATATGTGAAAACTGTGATATCACTTGTTTATAAATGTTTATTTGTGATTTATAAAATGTTAACAACCAAATTAATAACTTAGTTATGAACCAATTATTAATCCTTTATACGGGCAGTCTTATTGTCAAGTGGTACCAAATGCTTAGCTGAAAGTCTCTTGTACACCATGTCTCTCATTGTTTCCGTTGACCACTCTGAAATGTATATTTCTTGTAGTGCACTGAGCACCTGGATGCCATCAAAGTACTTTGTTGCTTTCCATGTGGTAACATCACAGGAAGTCATTCACCTGCTGGTTTGTCAAACATTTATATTTTTTGATTTTCTGATAGGACAGGCTGCTCTAGTCTAATTAGTAATCATGGAAGTTACAGTGAACTTACAGGTTTATGTTTGTAATGTAGCAGCTTTATGGTTCACCTGGCTTAAGATGTCCATTGTTCTAATACTCTTAACTGGATTCATTTTAAATTTCTTGATTTTAGTAGTGACATGATTTGGACAATTTAGAATCAAACACATTAAATCATGTAGGGCCTTCTATGTATTTTTACAATGTAATTTTGCTCATGAAAATTATAATAGATTACTGGCAGTAGAATTGGGGAAACGTGTGTGCTTGCTCAACTCACAAGTTGTTTCTCAGCTAAAAACAGCAGTTGTATCTCATATGTGTTTGATACACTTCATATGTGTTTCTCAATTTCAGAGGAAATCTGATTAAGATTACATGAAATATATATGAACAGTGCCACATGCTGTTCACAGATCATTAATCATCGATGTTGCAACATTTGTTTCCTTCTTATGTGAGATCAACCAAAAGGTTAAATTTTCAAATTGGACATAAACTAAGTCTGAGGCATGTTTAAAAAATGTATGCCTCTCTAGGCCGTTGTTGAGAGTGACAGGGAGGTTGGGGAGAGAGAGAGGGGATGACACTGCAGTAAGAACTGAGCCTAAGTGGTACGCGCTCTACCAGTTGAGCCACGGGGGCGTTCCTGTAGGCCATTGTTTATCTCAGAAGATGGTTACTCCACCTGGTGGTCGCAGCTGGAAATATAAATATGTACAAATACACATAGAAATGGCAATTTATCAGAGGCTTGTCTTTGGTCTTTCTTTTGGGGGAAAATTGGACTTGTGACCTCAGCATTAGAGGTCTTGACTGTGTGTGTGTGTGTGTGTGTGTGTGTGTGTGTGTGTGTGTGTGTGTGTGTGTGTGTGTGTGTGTGTGTGTGTGTGTGTTGGCTTGTTTTTATATCATGGTGGGGACTTCAACCTACATACACACTAACCCATGGGGACTTGTGTCACTGTGGGGACAAAAATTGAGGTCTCCACAGGTACAGACTGCTTTCTGACGATTAAAGTGATAGTTCAGGTTATTTGACGTGAGGTTGTATGATGTACTTTGCTTTAGTCATTATATTACCTGCAATAATCGATTTGGCTCTGCACACTCCCAGTTTGGATAAGAAGGCAGGAGTACTGAAAAAGAAGCTACGAAATGTATTGCTGTGGATGGGGACAGCAGAAAAAACATATTTTAGCCACTAAAAGAAAGAAATACCGTCAACACTCTATCTTCCCGTCAAAAAGCCCCCTTCATTAGGGAATTTATTCGGGTTTCCTGTTGATTCGTTGCATTTATAACTACACATCTGTGATGGTCCCCTTGGCTGCTTCCTCAAACTGGGAGCAATCCAACCAATACCCACTGCAGATAATACACTGACGATGGACAAGAACTTTAAGGTTTTAGATTATGTGATATTGATTGAAACAACTGCTACCTATTTTTATTGCAATAAAACATCAGATGTGTGTGGAAGAATGCTGGTAACAATTTACAATAAAACTCCCATTATAAAGGATTTATCAATGGCTTATAACTAGTTTATTAGATAGCTTGTTAACACGTTATAATTATTGGTAAGCTGTTATAACACATTAGATGAAAAGGGCAACAGTGACCTGCTGCTTGCCAAATAGAGAGCCCACATTTATCTGTACTGTTAAGCCTCATATCTCAATAGTTTCTGAGCTTTCTTTATTTTCTCCATCATTCAGAATACACATCACCATTTATTAAAAGACTTACTATAAGACTCCTTTTCTTTCTTTTCATCATTAGTCAAATTAATGAGTAGTAAGCATTAATGTGATCTTACCAAATACTGACCTTGCATCAATGTGTGAAAACTGTGATATCACTTGTTTATAAATGTTTATTTGTGATTTATAAAATGTTAACAACCAAATTAATAACTTAGTTATGAACCAATTATTAATCCTTTATACGGGCAGTCTTATTGTAAAGTGGTACCAAATGCTTAGCTGAAAGTCTCTTGTACACCATGTCTCTCATTGTTTCCGTTGACCACTCTGAAATGTATATTTCTTGTAGTGCACTGAGCACCTGGATGCCATCAAGCTACTTTGTTGCTTTCCATGTGGTAACATCACAGGAAGTCATTCACCTGCTGGTTTGTCAAACATTTATATTTTTTGATTTTCTGATAGGACAGGCTGCTCTAGTCTAATTAGTAATCATGGAAGTTACAGTGAACTTACAGATTTATGTTTGTAATGTAGCAGCTTTATGGTTCACCTGGCTTAAGATGTCCATTGTTCTAATACTCTTAACTGGATTCATTTTAAATTTCTTGATTTTAGTAGTGACATGATTTGGACAGTTTATAAAAAAAACACATTAAATCATGTAGGGCCTTCTATGTATTTTTACAATGTAATTTTGCTCATGAAAAGTATGATAGATTACTGGCAGTAGAATTGGGGAAACGTGTGTGCTTGCTCAACTCACAAGTTGTTTCTCAGCTAAAAACAGCAGTTGGACGACATATGTGTTTCAAAATTTCATAGGAAATCTGATTAAGAGTGCAGAAAAGGAAATAATATGTAGATAGTAGAGACTTGTGAAATTCACCTTATACTAATATGAGGATAATATGTTCGACAAAGATGTCTTCTTACTATCTATTTGGCTTGGATCTACAAAGTAAACATTTTGTAAGTGTCATGTGGACAGTGACAAAGAGGGAGCCGCCTACAAAACTGCTTATTAAACCTCAAATAATGTCAAATACTGCAAATACCGTACATGTCCAGATGTTGGTTCAAACAGTAACAAAGACAAATTACACTCTAGCCTACATCAAGCAAACATGAGCTCAATCCACATGATGTAGCCGGTTCATTGTTAGACATGAGAAGTCACAGCACCAGCTCTTTCTCAGTAGCTGAGGTATTCATGCAGGTTGGGCTTAAAAAATTCACTTCACACCAAATATTTTTTAAAACGTGGTTTTCAATTCAAGGGTCAGTACAGCTAGGATCTGTTGAGTTTTCTATCTAACAGATCTCAATTACAAACTTTAAACTCATACAATTTAGGGACTTACATACAACTGTCGCAGAATTGCTGTGTTACATGTGGTCCCGCCTCAATGTGGTGGTGACTTGACACGTATGAGTCATCAGGACACACATACTTTATTAACCAGACAGAGTTTGACTGGAGTCACTTCTGCTCTACATCCTCATCTGACTCAGAAACTTTAAGAAAGGTATCGTTGTTATATATTATCCTTTGAATTTGCATGAATTTGAGATTAATCTGAAGGTGTTGTATTGACAAAACATAAGACTATAAAGATATCTGATGTTGATTTTATCTACTGTGACAAACACCTTCAGTGGAATTTAACAACACAGACATCAATCATAATTGTAAGGCAAAGGTCATCTGCTATATTTCAGAGGTTGACAAATGTTTTTAAGGAGGCACAGTTCAGCTACTGTCCATCTGATGAACTGATGTATTTACAAAAGCAAAGTTTTGTTGA